TAAGTTGTAGCCGAGGCCTTCTGCGATCAAAACCTTAGACATTTGTAGAACGACATTTGTCTCTCGTGATTGAAGTTGTACCACGCCCTGTCGTCGTGTGCGCAGGTTTTGATTATTGGCGACGGTGATGACTACTTCGTGTTGAAGTTGATACTCTCGCTGCACGAAGCGTCCTGAGGAGCACATGTGTTGTCCGCAGCAACTGTCCAAGAACCACGTGTCCTTCCCGGATGGCTCGCTCTGGGCGATGGCTGCGTACGTTGGATTCGGTTGAAGTGACTCGCGGCGAGGTGTGGTGTTGTCGAGTTGTTCTTCCGGTGAGTAGTGTGGCGGTGACTCGGTGATGCAGGAATCGGTCAATTTTGCCATGCAACTGACGATGTTCCTTGCTCCTTGTCCAGGTTGTCCCGTCGGTGTCGTTTGAGCTTGAGCGGTGGGGTTCGCTTGTATTGAAGTGACTTGGCTGCTTGAAGGTCGAAGCTGTCGCTGTGAAGGCGTTGACTGTTGTCGATTCAGGCAGTGCGTGCGCGGGTGCCCTGACGTCTTGCAGATGTGGCAGAACGGAGGTACGGGTTTCGGTTGTTGTTGTTTGTTGTTGTTGTTGTAGCGTCGCTGAGTATGGAATGCGAATTCCGGTGTTGATGTCTTCTTCTTGTGTCGTTCTTCTTGCAGGTCCATGTCTTGCTGCTCGGCGTGGATTTCGGCGCAGAGCGCTGCTTCGGAGATTCTTCCGTGGGCTCGGAGAATGGCCTTTGTTGCGCGACATTGAGGACCGAGGCCGCCAATGATAACTGTCACGAAGGCGTCTTCAGAAATCGACCCTCCGCATCGAAGAAGCTTGTCGCGCAACTCGCGACATCGGCTGATATACGCCATTCCTTTCTCGCCTGCTTTCATTTCGACCGTTGTCAATTGCGCCATTAACCGACTTTGATTTACGCTGTCTGTTGCTTGATACAGGCTCTTCAAGTGGTTGTATGCGAGCTCCGCAGAGTTGCCGTAACCCCGGTAAGACCGTATATTCTGCTGTTGGGACGGGGTGATGTTTCTCAGTAGAATCGTGTACGCCATCATCGACTGATAGGTGTACTGCTGCTTCTCATACTGTGTGCCGTTCGTTGGGTATGGCAAGGACCCGTCGAAGAAGCCAAGTATCTGCGCGCCTTCCATCATTAACTCGAATTCAAACGACCAGGTGAAGAAATCCTTTCCATCGAAAGGTCTTGACGTCTGCATCTTTAGAACGTGCGCGAACTGCGACTGAACTTGTAATGCGTCCAGTGGCTTTTCTTGTCCAGGTGAAGGCTGCGGGTGTGGCATAAAACTGATGGACCCGCGCTCGTACGGAGCAAAGGTAGGATGCTGTTGATTTCCTCGTGCGTATGATGAGCCGTCGAGACTCATGGGAGTTGCTCCGTTGTTGTTGTTGCTGTTGTTCGACTGCGCATGTGCCGACTGTTGGTGTTGCTCGTAGAAGGACATGAAGGAGAAAAACTTCTCCATCATGCTCTGATCGAAGCCTGCAGGTTGATTTGCAGGAGTCTCGGTAGAGGTTGCTCTTGGTCTTGTTGCCGTGCCCTCCTCTGTCTGCAGGCCAGAGGCAGGAGGTGGAGTAGGAGTAGTGCCTTGGGAGCCGTTGGAGGAGCTCCTTTCCTTTTGTGTAGCCATGCTTGTTGATGCTGTCGGTATTTTAATAGAAGTCGAATTCTCCCTGACTGCTCTCATACCATGTTGGGCTGAGAAAAAGCCCTTAGGATCTTTGCAGGGATGAACTCTGAGTGGGACTGATGTAATAGCGGAAGCGTTTAATGAAGTATTGTGAACCACCTTGCGCTAGTATGTGAGGGCAAAGTAGATTGATTAAGACAAAGAGATACAAGATTATATAAGAGTACAAGGAATATGAAGGGATACGGTTATAACTGTTTTACTGTTGCTGTTGCGGTTCGATACAGTGACGACTCGGGCAACTGCTCTGTAGCGAGTCAGTTGTGTGTCCTTGCTGTCGCGCTGTATTTGTCAGGTCAAAGGTCGCTGACCTTTGACTTTCGCGTAACCTCCAGCGGTTACTTCAACCTCCGAGGGTTGACTCGCTGGTGCCTCGATATGCTTTGCTTCGCTTGTGGCTTGGTGTTTCGACACGACAGAGGCGCTTAAGACTGATTGTTTCCAACATCCTAAGGGCTTTTTCTCAGCCCAACAGGTACAAGGCCATTCCATCAACACCAAGGAGAGCAGGATGTAAAGGAACACAATTTTTTTTTCCAAAAAATATACATCAGCAAATCGCTTTTAATGATGACTACTACCAACTACCGTACAATGAATTTTAGTAGCCCAAAGTATCCCGCAGAGACATTAGAGCACTGACTGAAGAGGAGGCGAACTTGCGTGCAAATAAAAAGCATGGAGCCCGCTCTCCTGCAACTCTGCATGGACCGGGAAATGCAACATCTAGAAGGCCGACATTCTCCGAAACCGCAAAATGACGCCTCTGCATCCTCTCGATCAAAGCCGCCGTCACACTGCTCCCAGAATACATTAACGGATGCTCAGCCTTGTAATGTGGCCAATCCACATGCATGACAGAGTGAGGCTCTATGCCTCTCCGATCATATCCCCAGACCACTGTCTGAATGTAGCCCTCATCAGGATATTCCCCTCTGCCCCTGCCAAAGGTCACATAATACTTCATATCTTCCACCACTAAAACCGCATGTGGCCGGGTCAGCACGAACCACTGAGAACCTTTTCTGATCTGCCACGGATGGATAATCTGACGTGGCATAAATATCCAGAAATATCGTGGAAACCTCCACCAGCGAAGCGCTGGAAGGACAGCCAGGAAGCTTCTATCCCCTGTAAAAAGGTACTCGTAAATGAAGTCAAAACTCCGGATGGAAATGCAGGCTTCTGACACCAGCACAAACCGCTGATTGACCGGATTCTCAAGCCCTGCTGCAAGAAGTCGCCTGGTAGCTTGAATCATTGATGGCATCCCCCTTACAATCCTCAATCCTGGAATCTGGGTCCCCCAGAATACACTGCCTTTCCCAACATGTGCATTCACGTCCCAGCCCTCTGTCGCTGCATGGACATAGATTGAGGCACGGTCCATGTTCCCACGGAAAAACTCCTCCCAGAGAGGTTGGAAGGGAAGAGGCCCTCGAGTGAGGAACAAGAATGCGATTTTAGGCAGCGTCCCGTTAGGCAGGAGCATTGATGGTGTAAATGTAGGCGAATGCTGCTTCGTCTCAACCACGGCTACAACCGTCCTATTATTGGCATTTCCGCTTCTCTCCAAAGCTTGAATCGACAGCTGGCTGAGATGTGAATGGTCCTCGTAATCCTCCTCCTCTCCGCCCTCCAGACCTTCTATCCGATGGTGGTGAAGCCGTAGAGATGCTGGTAACTCGGTGATAGGGACCAATTGATTGACTGGAGGTACAAATTGCCGCTCAGTCTCCATGGCTCGCTGAATCAGCATGCTGTCAGCTTCATCGAAGAAGGTGTACGAGAACCAATAAGCGGTGAACAGCTGCCATAGACCCACGGCTGCGAAACAGTAGAAAATTGCTCCGAATACGAACAGACACCTAGTGCATGGCGATGTCGTTGCGACAAGAATACGGAGTTTAGAGATGTAAGCTCCTGAAACAGGAGATTGATGTGGAGATGGCATTTGATCCGAAGACCCTGCTCGTTCTCTGCTGTACCGGCTTCCTCGCCTAACTCTACCCGGACCTTGACGACTGAAAAGCTTTTCGTGGCCGTGCGATTTACTTGGCTGCGATTGGTCTTGGTGCTGCTGCTGCTGCAGATGCTGCTGATGTGGATGATGATGACGTCTATCTACGAACGGATCACGCTCGTTCCCCGTCGCTATTCTGTCTTGATTGAATGTAGGCTGCGAAGGTTCTAACTCGAACGGTTGCCGTCGGTGTGAAAAGTCGCTGTTTGCTGCAGGGACCAGAACGGCCGCTTCAATTGACTGCCCTGTCTGGGCTTCTTGGTCAAGAAAGGTAGTTCCTAGTCGTCGCTTCTCTGCCATCCGGGAAGTAGGGTCAGAAACGCCAATTCAGCTAGAAACTCTCCAATCACGACGCTGAGAATTGTCCCAAGGACCCCTGAGCTTTTGAATATATTAAACTTCATGGAATTGGCCGACAACTAGGCACTTGAGAAACTATTTTGAAGACTTCAAAGGAAAAATTAGCCTGTTCAGAGCAGAAGATACGAACTCGAGGTTGGGTCTCATGGGGGTACTACTGCTTGGGAGCCCGGTAAGGAGGGTTCTATGGTGCTGTGAAATCAGACGTGTAAGAATCTGGGAGAGTTTGAGCGGGAAAGCACCTTTCAACCGCAAAGAAAATGAAGCATTCGTGACAAATATATTGGCGAACATATCCGTTCGTCGTCACGACACCGTAACCAGCAATGACCGTTTGGGGAGGGAGGCTCTCTCCGTCGCGGAAATATGCACCCCCTTTACCGAAAACAGGTTAGCGAAACAAACCAGCAATATTTCGTCTTCGTGAACCATGCCCCTTCAGGTTGGATAAGATCCCCTTCAGGTTCCGAAGCCGAAAACAGGTTAGCGAAACAAACCAGCAATATTTCAACTTCAGACCCTCACCCTAAAGCCCAAATTGTACATGCCCGTCCGTCCTAGCTTACTCTGTGGATAAGTTCAGGCGATTCAGGCTTGTAGTAGTGCTTACTCTTTCTCCTTTCCTGCTACCTGTTTACAAGAAATTAGTCATTTCTTCGGTGACCTATGGAGTCGGAACCAGCCAAACGTTTCAAATCAGGTGACCAACAGCCGCCAGCGTCCTCTGATGATTTTGAGTGTCGCCGATATTTGACGCCTGAAGGTTGCCCTTTCGGCGACAGATGCCGTTATCGCCATGGTGCTGAGGGTATGGATGTCTCTTATGTTTTTTCTCATGGCATTGGTATTTTTAACCTATTAGGTACTAAATCGTGCCTTCCCGCTTCGGATGGTGATTTTACAACATTACAGATTCGAGGGATTTGTTCCCCGACTCGAAGGCGAAGCCTTGCACGAAATTCTTCAGGTGCTTTTCTGTCTAACTGAATAAATTTACACAATCACGCGCTTTGTGGCCTCGCTATATGAGCTTATCTTACATTGTTTCCCTGCTTCATTTTACAGCACATCAGGCTGTCCGTATGGCGAAGAATGCCATTTCCAACATTACGTCCCTGGCGGTATATCAGCGCTCGGGATTTCACCAAGACCCATGCCTCCTGGAATGCCCGGATCCGGAGGCCCCTGGCCACCTGCCGGAAGCCCCATGGGAAGAGGACCAGGTTCGGGCAGGCTCGGAGGAGGACACGACGGAGACGCTTCCAAGATCTGCAGGCGTTTCACGGCACCAGGTGGATGCCGTTTTGGTGACCGTTGCCATTTCTCGCATGTAGAGCCTGATGCGATGGCCAGATCCCGTCCTCCTGGCCCCGGTATGGGTGGTCCGGGAGGGAGAGATTTTATGCCTGGCGATGGATACGGATCGGAGTCCAGATTCGGTGGTGGCCAATGGGACGGGCCTGGTGGATATAAAGGAGGGGGTGGTCTACCCATGGAGCCTGTATCTCCTGGGAGAGGCGGAGGAGGTCCCATGGGACCCGCATCTGATTTCGGGTCTACCACTAGTGCTAAGATTCCTATTGACGCATCGCTCGTCGGTGCTATTATAGGGAAAGCCGGCTCAGTAATTAAACAGATCCAGAGGCAGTCAGGAGCGAGGGTGGCTGTTCGGGATCATGAATCGGACACCAATCTTAGGAATGTCGAAATGGAAGGATCGCTTGAGCAGATTGAGTACGCGACAAGAATGGTTCGACAGCATTTGGCGGAGAGAGCTAACCAAGGCCCGGGAGGAGGCGGGGGTGGATTCGGGTCGGGTCCCCCGCGTGGGGGTGGTGGTGGAGGGAGGGGACCTTCCAGCCTTGGTCCGCACAATTACAAGACGAGGATGTGCGAGAAGCTTGAGGCTGGGACCTGCACGTTTGGATCTCGCTGCCACTTCGCTCATCACCCTGATGAGCTTCGATCTGCTCCGCCAGGAGATTAGAAAAGGTGAGATCTGATCTGGTAAGTTGTCAAATAAACTGTTTTTTATTTCACAAGCATCAGTCAGATGTCATGTGTCTTACGTTTTGGAAATACACAATTCTGGCAACATGACGCAAGGAGGTGATTTTTGCAATTCTTCACATGCATTTGAAGAAATCATTTTTCACAAAGGGCCTGCTAACATTACTGGGCGATGCGTTTAACACATCAAATTTGTGACTTGCAGTGATGGATCAAGGGCGTACAATATCCAATCCAGAACAATCTAACCGACGAATAGTGTGCTGGATGAATCAGCAGTTCCTTGCAATCCATGAATGACGTCACTCAAGAAAGCTTCTGCAAGAATTCAGAATAAATGGTAAAATTCAAGCTGGAGGAGAACCAGGACATCGTACTGTAACACCGTAAGAGGACAGTGAATGTACTCGAGCAGGCTTAGCAACCAACAAGCCAGCTGAACGAAAGTTGTGATCTGCAATTAGGTTTTACAACGGAGTAGTAGCGGGTGGCTACAATAGGGTTTTAAACTGCTGGCTATAATTTCAAACTTCGCTGCTGAATCGAATGGCTGGGCTATTTTGGCCCAAGCTGGTGTGGAAATTTAACCTCTGATCATGGAGTTTCAGACTGATTTATGGGAGAGCAATTTTCGTGGCCTGTTGTACGCTTCTAGGGTCTAATCATGTGCGTTGGAAATGTTGTTTTGCCTTCTTTCAAGCATAAGAGTGTGTTGTTGGAAATTGTTAAGGTTGCTTGTGAACATTGTTGTCTAATAGTCTAATTGGCCCGTTCCAGCCATACTTCGTGAGAAAGATCCCCATATTCTTCTTTGTAATAACCTCAATTTCTGGCCTTATTTGTCATACCTGTATGGTACTTTCTTATTTGTCCTTCAGCATGCTTGGCTCTGTGCTGTTTGGTGGGAAGGTGATATGCATAGCACTGGCTCTTGCATGGACAAAAGTCTTATCAAGCCCATTAACAGGATGGATGGGAAACAGGGGAGATTGGGATGCACTTGCTTGCATGCATTGCTCTACATTTAGAAGCTTGCACAGTAGCATAGCACCAGCCATACCAGGGTCAAGAGGTACCGTGCATGCAGCCATGACCAACAGCTGTTATACAAGGTGATGTAAGTTGTGACTATGCCCAACAGGTTATATGAAGCAGTCACCAGACCAGCAACCACAGATGCAGCCACATCCAACAGCCATCGCACCAGCACAGGCACAGGTGCCACTAAGGGACTTGCTTCAGGCCCCCATATTCACTTTAGGAGGCCCTGATCGATCAGTGTCACCCTGTGTTTGAAGGCTGATTGACAGTGTTACCTAAAAAAAAACCCTGAAAATTCAGTGTTACTTGTCAAAAAAGACTGATGGATCAGTGTCCCTAATTTTAAAACCCTGTTTTTAATTAAAGTCCTTAAATTAAGTTTAAATCACATGCAGCCTTGAACAACCTTTGCAAAGGTACCAGGAGCTCAAGAATCATCAGAGTCCGATGCATCATCACAGACAGTAGCCTGTGCTTCTTCCCACTCCTCCGCAGCCGTCTCCTTGCCCCTGCCATCCTCCTGCCCCTCTTCTGCTGGTGCGGCTGCAACATTACCAAAGGGGCGACGCTTCTTGTAGCTGCGCCAGATCTGCACAACCTCCGTGTAGTCTGGCTCGTAGTTGAGGAGGTACATGGTGATGAGGTCTTCAAGCCGGGCGTCCTTGAGACTCCCCCGCTGCCAAGACTTGATTATATTCTGGCGGGAAAACCCCCGATCACACTCCACTGTACTCAAAGGCAGCACGGCGACTGCCACCCAGAGGCGCACGAGATTGGGGTAACTTGTCGTCCAGTCGTCGGTCTTCAGCATTGCTGTCAGCCCGCCATGGAAGCTGCGTTCGTTTTTCGGGGCACCTGCAAGGTTGGGGCAGAAGGTACGCAGTTCTTTGATCGCCCGACGCTTGTCGATCCCTGCCAGACAAGAGGAAAGGGAAGAGAGAAAGTAGAATTCATGGCCTGGCATATTAGATCCCCCTGCCAAGATTTTAACCACGGCAAACAAGAGTGACACTGACAAATTGATTACAGATATGCCACCAACGCACATACCTGGTAGAATGCAGTCTGTCGTCTGTGCCCTGAACAGCGAGACGAGTGACATGAGCCACTCGAGACACTGTTCCGTGCGCTCCACCCTCCCGAGCGGCCACTCGTCTGGAAGGAACAGTCTCACTCCAGTCAGTGAGTCCAAGTCTTGAAACCTCTTGGTGAGGTTGCGCACTAGCGTCTCGGCGAACGCCGTGCAGAGGTCGACGCAGGCGTCATAACTACCCACGGTTGGGTAGTCCTCGCTGGGGTTCTCGTGCAGCTCGATCGAGTGTGTGGTGGGCCGACCGTCCGAGTCGACTCCCACCACCTTCACGCGGGGGCAACCACCGTCTGGGCCGTGCTTCTTGATGAAGGGGGAGAGACGCGCGCTAATTCCGCCTCCGAACTCGTCACCGCAGTCAACGTAGCGTGACTCCAAGTAGGATATGGTTCGCCTGATCTGTGCGTGAACGCCTGCAATCTCGAGTTGGGAACGGCAGGGAGAAGGGAAGCACAGGGAAACGACAGTACTGGGGATGAGTTAGCATACAAAAAGCCGTGTCCAGTAGAAGTGAAGAGACATTGATTAAAGGTAACCCTCAAAAGCTACAGACACAGATACATAGATGCCAGACAAGCAACCACACCAGCTTACCTCTCGTTGCTGGAATGACTTATTCAAGACGTTCAGCTGCTCAAGCACGTCCGCAAGGGAGTATAGCAGAAAGTGAAACCTGTAGCTGGTCGCGAGTTCATAGTAGGTTGTGTCCCACTCGTACAGCATGACTATAAGCGCGGGGAACACCTCGACCATTCGCAGCACGGCATCACCCCTGGAGAGCCAACGGACGCTGTGAATTCCTTGGAGCTCCAGGTTAGTAGCCGTGAAAACTTCCTGCAGGGAAAGGAAGCGTTGGTGCCAAGGGCATGATCGCCCCAGATGCTCCGCGACACTACGGATCAAGGAGTCCACCATGTCGAACTCGGGGAGTGCTTCCGCTGCGTCCTTTGCTGCGAGCGCCTCCCTGCATTTCAAACACAAAGGCGGGCGGTACGTTAGTGCAGTTAACGGGGTTGCACGGGTAACATGGGTAACACAAACTGCAACCGTGGCGTACCTGTGGGCGATGCAGTGACTCGAAACGAGGTGAGGTATGCGGAGGCGGAGGCGAGCGACAAGGCCGCTCTTGCTTCCCATCATCACACTCGCGCCATCCGTGCTGATACCGGCGATCCTCCCAAGTTCAATGCCTAGGGCCTGCAGGTGGGAGAGGAAAGCAGAGAGCAACGAGGCAGCATCGCACTTCTCCACTGTCAGCAGGGCCAGGAACTCCGTGATGAGGCGGCATTCTCGGATGAAGGTAACGAAGATGATTATGTGCTTTCCCCGACACCTGTCCGTGCTTTCGTCGCAGGTAACTCCGATGTACGGGCTCGCCAAGATGAGCTGGAGTTGCGTTGTGTGCAACCACGTGGCCATTGACTGCGTCAGTTGCCCAAAGCCGTATCTGCGGAACACAATGAACACGATGTTGTCAGAACACGGAAAATCTAAAGCAAAGCAACAATAAACGCTATGCCACCACGGTAACTCACGTGGTGTAGTACGTGCCATACCCTTTCGCAGGGTAACCCACAACTTTCTTCGAGGCAAGGTAGCGCACGAGATGCACCCACAACTCTATGGGTGCATCCTTCTTGGTGACGAAGAGGAGTGAGTCGAGTAACTCGATGACTCGCTCCTTCTCGATGTCGCGCGCAAGATTGTCGCCATTGATCCGGGGTTGCCTGCTTGCAGCCGTGAGAAGCTTTTCCTGGCTGTCGATGGCGGCCTTGTGCTTGTTAGTGGCTGCATGCCTCTTGAACGCCTGCGTTTGTACGTCGGTAGCGCCCCTGCCTCCCCTCCCGCACCGTCCCGAGTAGCCAGCGTGCTCCGAGCAGATGCTGCATTTAAAAGCAGGGAGGCCATCATCCGTTTTCAACAATATTAGCCAGGAAAAACGGTCTAACCACTCGGCCTTGTATTTTTCAAGCGCCTCGGCGTAGATCTCGTCGCGTCCAGACTAATTCGAAGGCCCATGCACCGATGGCGATTGCTGCGTGGCGGCAACCACGGGTGTCGATCGTTGGTCGGCAGGCGAAGGGGGTGTGGCACCATCGTCAACGCCCTTGGTGACGAACGGGAGTGTTGACTGCGTGAAGCGGGCGTTCTTCTTAGCCACGGGTACTGGCGCTGATTTTCCAACAGAAGGCGTGGAGCTATCTTGCTCCATCACTGGCGCAGTAGGGGAGGCACACAACCCCACATCGTCGATGGGTTCGAACGGAATGTAGTTGGGCGGCGCAGATGCGGGACGCTTTTCATGGTTGTCGACTTGCGCAAGACTAGAGAAAAGCAAATCTAAGCCGGTAACAGCATCGGAACAACCAACTGGCGGGGGACGATGCGCATCATCGCCATCTTCGCCGATGTTTCCCATGCCGTCAAGGGGGTCCGCCATAGTTAGCTCCTCTAAACTAGAGCATCTCACCAAGGTACGAGCGAAAGGGGTTATCCCAGGATTGCCTGGGCATAATCCTCGCCACGACTGGCTGCCTCTTGGTACACTAGGCAGGAAACGAGGGAAACCCCTTTCGGAGGAAAGGCTTGGAGCAGACGAGGACCCTGGATGGCAGAAACGGTGGCTGGGCGGCGTGGATGCATCCCATCATGGGTGCTTGCTAGCACGACCAAGACAAACCGCTGTCAAATTACATTTGTATGCTTCTAGGCTGTAGTGGGGCATACTCTAGTGAGTACAACACTTTAGAGTTTCATACTTGTACTCATCCTGCTGCTCAATGCAATCATTCCTGTCTGCTTATTCTAACATGGTATTAGAGCAGATTTGTTCCTAGGGCCCACCGAACGTTCCGCCCTGCCCTAACCGAATTTTTTTTCTTCCTACGCTGCCCCTGCAGCCGCGCTGCCCTTGCAGCCCGCGCGCTGCCCCTGCGACCGCGCTGCCCCTGCAGCCGTGCTCGCCCCTGCGACCGTGCTGCCCCTGCAGCCGTGCTCGCCCCTGCGACCGCGCTGCCCCTGCAGCCGTACTCGCCCCTGCGACCGTGCTGCCGATGCAGCCGTGCCTGCCCCTGTGGCCCACGCGCTGCCCCTGCAGCCCGTGCGTCGCTCCTGCAGCCCGTGCGCGCTGCCCCTGCAGCCCGCGCCCCGCCCCTGCAGCCCGCGCGCCGCCCTGCCGAGCCGCGCGTCGCCCCTGCAGCCCGTTCGCGCTGCCCCTGCAGCCCGGGCGCCGCCCTGCCGAGCCGCGCGTCGCCTCTGCAGCCCGTGCGCGCGGCCCCTGCAGCCCGCGCGTCGCCCCTGCAGCCCGCGCGCCGCCCCTGCAGCCCGTTCGTGCTGCCCCTGCAGCCAGCGCGCCGCCCCTGCAGCCCGCGCGCCGCCCTGCCGAGCCGCGCGTCGCCCCTGCAGCCAGTGCGCGCTGCCCGTGCAGCCCGCGCGTCGCCCCTGCAGCCCGCGCTTCGCCCCTGCAGCCCGCGCACCGCCCCTGCAGCCCGTGCGTGCTGCCCCTGCAGCACGCGCGCCGCCCCTGCGGCCCGCGCGCCGCCCTGCCGAGCCGCGCCGCCCAACCCGAGCCGCGCCCCCCAGGCCGAGCCGCGCCGCCCAAACCCGAGCCGCCCTACCCAACCCGAGCCGCCCTGCTACTACTACTGCTACTGCTGCTGCTCGTTCTACTGCTGTTGCTGGAGGAGGTGCTGCTGGGAGTGCTGGAGGTGCGGCCGCCCAGCCCCACCGAACCGCCCTGCTGCTGCTACTACTGCTGCTGCTGCTACTCGTGCTACTGCTGCTGCTGGTGGAGGTGCTGCTGGGAGTGCAGGAGGTGCGGCCGCCCAGCTCCACCGAGCCGCCCTGCTGCTGCTACTACTACTGCTGCTGCTACTCGTGCTACTGCTGCTGCTGGTGGAGGTGCTGCTGGTGCTGGAGGAGCTGGAGGTGCTGGACCTACTCCTAACCGTCACTGTCTGTCATGGCCACTATCGCGGCAGTTGCTGCGGCCAGGGGTGGACAGCAGCGGGCACTGCCTCTCCCGGACGACCCCACCCCTCAGCAGCTTCGTGAGTGGGTTTTTCAGCGAGGCAGTCATGGTGGTGGAGGTTTTGGTTTTATGTGGCCTAAGAGACCTCGCGACTGTGCTTCTCAGCGATGCGTCCCTGGCTGTGTAGAGGTTACTACTCTCGGTTCTAGTGAGTCTGCTGCCGCTCCAGGTGCTAGTGAGTCTGCTACCGCTCCAGGTGCTAGTGAGTCTGCTGCAGCTCTAGGTGCCCGTGAGTCTGCCGACGCTCTAGGTGCTAGTGCGTCTACTACCACAGGTCCTGCCCCAGCTGAGGTCTTGCACACTTTCACGCTTGACTCAGGCGCGTCACGTTGCTTCTTTCGTGATTGCACCACAGTCACACCACTCACAGCACCTGTCCCAGTCTCACTGGCTGACCCCTCTGGGGGCCCCAGTAGTTGCGAGAGCCTCCACGGTCCTCCCTTGTCCAGCAGTCCCCTCCAGTTCTCTGTCAGGTCTCCACCTCCCCACGTTCTCGACGAACTTGGTGAGCAACGCTGCCATTCAGGATGTCTGGGTTGATACCTTTATTCCTGGAGGGCAGCGTGTGGCGATCTGTACGTGCTCCCGGACTGGCCGTCACCTGGCTACGTTCACTCGACAGCCTGGGTCTAGTCTGTACACACTGACCACTACGTCTGCACAGGTGGCTGAGTCAGGTCAGGTGGTTGCGTCGAGTCGGGCGTCTGCGTCGGGACAGTTAGCTGCGTCTTGGTCGTGCAGAGTACTCACGCACGAGACTCAGCGCTGGCACCACCTTACGTCGAGGGGCGGCAGCGCGCCGCTCCTCACTCTCCCGACTTTCCTCCGACCACTGCTCCTCTGCAGACTCTCCACATGGATGTGTGGGGCCCGACCCCCATCGGTGGAACGGACCGCGAGCACTATTTCCTGCTGGTTGTTGACGACTACACACGCTACACCACTGTCTTCCCCTTGCGGCGCAAGGCGGATGTCGGCGGTGTCCTGATCCCCTGGATCCGTGCTACTCGTCTCCAGCTGCTCGAGCAGTTTCAGCAGGACTTCCCAGTCCTGCGTCTGCACTCTGACAGGGGCGGTGAGTTCTCCTCTGACCTCCTTGCGGGGTTCTGTCGAGACGAGGGCATCCGCCAGACGTTCACGCTTCCGGCCTCTCCTCAGCAGAATGGGATTGCTGAGCGTCGCATTGGCTTGATCATGGAGGTTGCTCGCACCTCCATGATCCATGCGGCTGCTCCCCATTTTCTGTGGCCATTTGCGGTCCGATACGCTGCGCATCAGCTCAACCTCTGGCCCCGTGACTCTGTGCCAGAGACCTCGCCCACCCTCCGGTGGACAGGGAAGGCTGGTGATGCGTCAGTGTTTCGGGTCTGGGGCGCGCTCTCCCTTGTTCGCGATGCCAAAGCGAGCAAGCTCTCCTCTCGCACTCTCCGCTGCGTCTTCCTTGGCTTCCCCACTGACGCCCCGCCGTGGCAGTTCTACCACCCGCGCTCGCGTCGAGTCTTCTCCTCCCAGGACGTCACATTTGACGAGTCTGTCTGTTACTACCAGTTACACCCGCACTCGTCCCACCCGGTTCCCCTAGCACCCCTCTTCCTGGTACCAGTCCCCCCCCCGGTAGACCACCTCCCCCCACAGGGTCCTGCTCCCTCAGGTGTGTCTCAGGTCGACCCACCCCCCTTGGATGAGCCACTGGAGATCTCTTCTGACTCCTCTGGCCCAGCTGAGGGGGGTGACCCAGTTGCGGACGACACGGCGGCCACTCGCCGCTCTCCACGCTTGGAGACCCCCCCGGGTTTTCCGCCTCGACCGTCTTCGCCGCCTCCGCAGCCTGCTGCTGTGGACTCTGGAGCTGAGACTACAGGTGCTGAGACTGGGGGTTCTGAGA